GCTCCTCTCTTGTTGGAAGCATAATTACTGTCCTATTTCTCACCTACCCTGGACTTGGCACGTTCCTGCTACCAATGTCAGAACTTCCTCTTGGTTCCAAGGTTGTCCCATTTTCTAACAATGTTACTGCTTTCTACAATGAAATTGAATACTGATAATATGGGTTTTGATTCTTACCTGTAGTTCTAAGTTCTAATTCTTGTATTTTTATTTTTATATAATGGTAACCAAACTTCTTGAAAATTTTATGGGACATTATATTGCTCCACTCTTTCTGGCAGGGATTGAAGTTTCCTGTTTTCTATAGGAAAAGAAGAAAAGTAAAAAAAATGGATTGGAGTAAAGTACCTTCCTTGACTCATCAATCCAAGAAGGCAAGAATTAGATGTTCCTTCTGCCAAAAGGTATAAAATTCTCTGAAGGGCAAATTCCAACTTTGTCTGTTGACCCAACTCAACCCATTTCATGCCATGCTTGATATCCAGTTATGGGCCAGTCTCCAATCTAGAATTGCTTGGCAAAAAATCATTCACTCTTATTTTCGTGCTACATTTTCATCATTAATGTATCAAGACTTTTATTTTGCTACCTAATCTTTCAAATGCACCTTCACCAGATAATTGTACCACTTGTTTTCGTCTTTATGAATTGTATATTAGTCTTTATTGATAATGACAATGGCAGTGAGCATGCATGAGAATGGCAGCTGCAGCATTATAATTTATAAATTTTGTAGTAAGGGTTTAGTTAAAAAAAAAAAAAAACTATCTGCAAGTAAGTCATTGATTATATATTTTGATTTTTGAATCTCACATGTCGTAGTCAAGAGTGGTACAATTATTATGTAGGTTTTCTGTTTTCAGTCCTAAGCTCCCATTTGGCTAAAAAAGGAAAGTCCTAATCCACAGCTTTGAGCAGTTCAAATCCCTCTCTTAAACGAAATGGGTTAGGTAATCCAAGAACCCTGCCATTGGCCCGGATTCCTACCACTAAGTGTCCTCCGGTTACTTCTTTATTGATGCACTCAAAAGTTGGATCGCTTTGCGGTAGCAGAGTGAAAAAGTGAAGGGCTAGATCTCTTAGAGATATGTTCAATTCTTCTGGTTTGCTTGTTAACTCAAACAAGTTCTGCAAAACAAATAGTGGGAGTTGGTTTTCAAGCATGATCAGGTCCCGGTAAAGAGTTGGCAGCATCCACCCTTCAATAGAAGGTGCATATCTGAAGTTCTGTTTTTTTAGGTAAAATGTGATTTTTATTACCTATAATACCAAAATCCATATGCAAAGTAGCACTAGCTTTCCAGGCTGCTACCAGAATCTAATTACAAAAAATCAGCAAGTCTACTCAGTCTCTTCCTCTTATACACAATATCTCTAAACCCCAATTTGAGGCAAGGCTCCATGACATTGGACAAGCCTTCATCTTAGCAAACCCCAACAAACGATCTCCAACATCAGCCTAAATGACGCTTAAAAGGGTATCACCAAGTTGAAAAGTGCCTTGATGAAAATGATTATTCCTTTCCCTCCAAATATGGTAGTTCGCCGAACTCCAAGCTGACTTTAGGAGGGAAGAGTAAAGAGCTTTACACTTAATGTTCTTGCATTGCCAAGATAATATATTGGACCAAGAACAGGTGGCTGGCATGCTTGTCAAATTAGAAATTCTCTTCCAAATATAACTGGTATAAGGACAGGAGAAGAACAAGTGATCCCTTGTCTCACTCGTTGCCCTACAAAAGATGCATCTATCATCAATGGAGGCTGTCCATTTCTTCTGCCTGGCCCTTTTAGTAACTCCATTTAGAAGAGCAAGCCAAGTTGTAAAGCAATGTTTGGGAATACCATGAGAAAAACATACAATTTTGAACCATGGCACTCTATGATGTTTTTCCCTAATGTAATTACATATGCACTTAGTTTGGAATTGACCTAAAGGTGAAGGAAACTGGAAAGCAAAATCCATGGACTCCTGATTGGGGTATAAGGTGTCACATAAAGCTATTCGCATCTGCAAGAGCTCTGGGGAGTGGAGGGGAGGACATATCCAGAAATTTCCTTAAACAACCATAGACAACTCTGCTTGATGTGGGAGAGTAGAAGCCTATACAATTCTAGGGCCATAGGTATCTAGCACAGGTTTGTTTGGATGCCAATAATCAAACCACAAAAAAATCTTCACCCCATTACCGACATGATACCTAAAAAGAGGCCTTGCATGTGGCTATAGTTTTTCGCCAACTCCAGGAGGCAACCCTTAGGGTTGTAACAGACTAAAAGCTTTTCCCTCTAAGCATGTATTCATGGATCCAAGCCACCCATAAAGAACCAAATCTAGAGAATATGAGCCATATAAACCTCAAGACACAAGCAACATTCCAATATTGTAGAAACTTAATACCCAATCCTTCTTCAATTTTTGGTTCGCATACATCGAACCATTTAACCTTAGCACCCTTAGCATGGTAACTAAACCCTTCCATAAAAAGCACTGTAGATGGTTTCAACCTTTGTAAGGACCCTTTTTGGTTGGATAAAAACCAAGCACCAAAATTTGGTGATCCCCTGGAATACAGAGGTGATAAGCTAAAGTCTACCAGTAAAGGAAAGGTACTTGGGAGACTAGGATTGGATTCTAGCAATGATTTTAGTGATTAGGGGCTTGAAGTTAGCATCAGTCAACCTTCCTATAATTAATAGAACTCCTAGATATCTCATAGGCAAAGTACCAAGCTTGAAGCCATAAGATTCTATTAGAGATTGAATTATAGAATCAAATACTCCACACCAAAAAAGTTCAGATTTTTGGTAGTTCACTTTCAAGCCTAACGTTGTATAGAATTTATGTAAAATGGAATCAATAATACCCACGGCTTCTCTTGAACCATGAGTGAAAATAAGGAAGTAATCCACAAAGCATAAATGAGTAAGGCTAACCTTGCTGCACTTTGGATGATACGGGACAGATCCTTCTTAAGTAGCCTGATTCGGAAGCTTGGAAAGCACTTCCATACATATGACAAACAAATAGGGGGACAAAAGATTGCCTTGTCTTATACCTTTCTTCCCAAGAAAATATCCCTCCATATTGCCATTTATAGACACTGAAAACATGAGAGTTGTGACACAAGTCTTAATCCAAGATATAAAGACAAATGGAAAGGCTAATGCTTCTAATACTCTGAAGAGAAAATCCCAACTGATAGAATCAAAGGCCTTCATCAAATCAGTTTTCAGTGCACACCATGGAGACAATTAGACTTATGGTAGTTCTTAACAATCTCTTGTGCAAGTAATACATTTTCCACCATAAGCCTCCCTTCAATGAAAGCACACTAGTCGTTACTAACAAAGGTAAGCATTTCTTCAATCTGTTGGCAATGATTTTAGTAATGCATTTATAGAGAAGGTTGCAACAAGAAATTGGCCTAAAATTTGTCATTTTTTAGGACAATCCACCTTTGGGACTAATGAAATTATAGTAGAGTTTACCCCTTTTAACAACTTTCCTAAAGTAAAAAATTCTTAAACAGCCTTGATAACCAAATCTCGAATGATAGGCCATGCCTCTTTAAAAAATTTAGCAGTAAAGCTAGTTATTTGGACTTTGAAAAAACACTGATTTGCACTCATCTTCAGTGATAGGCTGGATAAGAGCATTCCCCACACGCTCTGGTACATGAAAATCTACAATATCCTTCAACTCATTCAGGTCACCCCCATTGCAAGCTACATCTTTAGTGCCAAGAAGCCTTTGATAAAAACTGACAGCTTCTTTAACAATTTTGTCTTGTTAAGAAAGCCTTGCCCCATCAATAGAAATTAGAGTCTTAACCCTATTTTTGCCTCTTGACTTTCAAAACTTTATGAAAATAGTTTGTATTCTGATCCCCCACTTGGAGCCAATTAATTCTAGATTTTTACTTCAAGTATGCCTCTTTTGCTAGGACCAAGTCAATGACCAATTTTGCTTGTTGTTGTTCCATAGAGCCAAATCCTCATAAGGGCTGGAAAATAAATCTACTTGAAGCGCAATGTAGCTTCTTTGATTCTTGTTGCACCCTAGTATGAATATCATTGTAACAATCTTTCTTAAGCTACTTAAAAGGGACCTTCAAAGCCTTTAGCTTCTTGCATAACTGATACATGAAGCATCCCTGAACATTCACAAGGGACCAAACTTCCTTGACAATGTGTAGAAATTTATTATTCGAAGTTATGTTGTTTTAACCGTTATGGTTACCTTAAAAAAACTATTTGAAGTTATGTTGTTTTAACTCTTATGGTTTTTTTAAGGCAACCAAAACTTCTTCCTTGAAAATTTTATAGGACATTAATATCGCCCCCTCTTATTGGCAGGTTTGAAGTTTCCTATCTTCTACGGTTCGATTTGCAAAGTTTCTCCTCTCAGTGCCTCTGGTCAAAGAGACACTCTGCAAATTTTTGTTTTCTGTTTTCTATTTTTTTTAATAAAATTTTTTTATAAATTGAGAATATAAAAGTTACTCTAACACAACCAGTTGGAAGATTTCTTTGAATGTGATATTAATTGTATTCAGATTAGTTGAAGTGTTTGTTTTGGCTGTTTAAGACATGGTTGGAGACGGGGATTTTAATTAAATTTTCTATCTCAATTAATTTATTTTCTATCTAGGTAAATTATATTGAAATGATATTTAACTAGTAAATTTTGATCTCAAATTTGACTACAACATTTATATAGGCATTATATTATTTAATTTTACATTTTTACACATTTTATAAATGTAATAACTTTGACGTATATTATTATCTTATTCAAATTGATCTTATAACCCTTATTATTTTCATATATCAATAAAATTATATTTCTCATTAAAAAAAAATTACTCTAACCCGCGCATTCACAATAAAGGTCCAAAATATACCATAGAGGCTAACTGCAACTCGGGAAAATATAACAAGCCTTGTTACCACCTGTGCATCCTTTGCATCGCTAGGTAACTTTAAGCAATCATTTAGAATTCTTTAGCACACAAATTTCGAACCTTGAGTTATTTAACTTGCAAAGTGAATTTCAGGTGGATTTCTCAAATTTGTCCCTCTTGAAAAAATGTGAAAATAAATTATCCTTTTAAATTGTTGATCAAAACAAATTATCTATTATTTTACATGTCATGTAATCATATATGAGAGATTAGTTTGCCACTTAAGTATTTGTTAATGGAAAGTTGACGTATGATAACATTATATGTTAAATAATAAGTAATTTGTTTTAATTAATAATTTAAAAAAGTAATTTATTTCTATATTTTTTAAGAGGCAAATTTATCACTACATTTTTATTTGAGGGATAGATTTGGGAGTTTTGGTGTGAGTTTTAAACTTTAGAGTTGAATTCTATACTAATTCAAATTGGTTGAGTATGGTAGTATATATTTTTATTTTATTTTTATATTTATTTATCCTTTCATAACAACGTATCATATTATAAATTTTTAATATTATTTGTCATTATAATTATAATAGTTTTAGTTATATTTATGATGAATAATGATAAAAGAGACAAATTTTATGTGATCAAAATTTAAAGCTAATCATAGAGTATAAATTATGTTATTTAAAATATTAAAAGATAAATTTTATATTATTTAATAATAAATTCATTTTATTTTATTAAAACTTATTTGATATATATATATATATGGGTTAGTGCTTGTCAGTCTTACTTTCAAAAAATTAAGAGAAAAAAAGACAAAAATCATCTTAATGCATGTTTTAAAAATAAGATAATTTAATATTTTTTAATAAATATTTATTAAAACGATGATTTTCTTCCTAATTTTTAAGAAGTAAAACTGATAGTTACTATCTTTACTATTTCCATATATATATATATATGTATGTATGTATCTTAACTCATTTAGTAATATATCTTATGCCATTCCATTGTCCCACTAAACCCGTTTAGGTCCTTCGAACTCGTAACATACTCTGGGCCTTTTTACCAAAAGAAAAACGTATCCTGTCCTATTTATCAACTTGCACATCCCTTTCTCCGACCCAAATTCATCTTCTCTAAACCGTTTCAAAACATGACACTCCCGTCGTCTGTTTCGCCGGGACGTTCTGTCAGTAACGGATCCGGTAATTACGACCACCACCTCCTCTAACAAAACCAAACAATCTCTTTCAATGAGCAACAAAATCAACAACCCTTTTGCATAAATACCCAAATCTTTCCTTTCCTCACTCACCAATGGCTCAAGAAATGATCCGTTCCCCTGTTTTCTCGGTAATTTCAACGGCGTTGCTCGTTTCTCACCTCATCCTGGCTGCAGTTTCCCATAATGAGGACTCCCCCGTAAATAACTCCCCTCCCAATGCAGGGCTGTTCCCATCGATTACATCGACGTTGCATTCATGGCTTGAGTCCCATAATGAGGACTCGCCGGTAACTGACTCCCCTCCTAATGCAGGGCTGTTCCCGTCGGTTACATCGACGTTACATTCATGGATTGAGCTAAACATGAAAGAGTACAACGAGCGGAAGGGGAACTTCGCTCGCGGCTTCAACCGCACCGTCCTGGATAACACCCTGGTGGCAGCGGAAGACGGCGGGGTTAAAGTGATTACGGTGAGGAAAGACGGAAGTGGGGATTTTAAGACGGTGACTGACGCCGTTAATAGCATTCCGTGCGGGAACAGAAAGAGAGTGGTGGTTTGGATTGGCTTTGGTGAGTACTGGGAGAAGATTACAATTAATAGGACCAAGAACTTCGTGACTTTTTATGGGGACCCAAATAACATGCCGAAAATTGTGTATAACGGGACGGCGGCGCAGTTCGGAACGGTGTACAGCGCCACCGTGGCGGTGGAGAGTGATTACTTCGTGGCAGTCAACATTGCCTTTGTGGTGAGTTTCTCTCCCATATATCCCAAGTTAAATGCCAAACAACTAAATATGATAGTTTAGTCTTCAAGTTTTTAGTTATTTTTGAAAAACGTCCAAAAAAAATTTAAAACTAAAAATTAGTTTCCTAATTCTTATTATAGCCCGAAGCATTTTAGTGTAGGATGTTGCACAAATTTTGTTAAAAAAAAAAAATTGAATATGAAGAAAATTAAAAATTATGTTTTATATTAAATTCATTTTACTTATCACACTTAAAAAAAAAATGTGGACTAGTTTATTTTTTAATTCTTCTCCTGTATACATAGTAGCATTAGAATCTTGCTTTTCAATTTTACCTTTATCAATAGTTACTCTATTTATAAAATAAACACATCCTAACTTGCCAACTTTCATTATTAATATAGGTAGATATGAAATTTTGTGTTGTAATTGTGTTTTATAAAATTTTATAATTTTTTTTCATAATCTTGTTAGGTAAAAATATAACAAATAAAATAGACTTGAGGTAATAATAATAGTGTTATAGTTATAGGCTAAATATATGTTTGTATTTTCTCTCACCAATAAAAGTTCATATGATATCCTCTGTGTATTTATAAGTAAATTTAATGAAATTTTAATATGTCATTATATTTAATGATGAACTATATATGATGAGGAGGTATTCTCTTCCCCAATCGTCTACCAGTTATTTCAAGATATGAATTTAATACCTCCAACTCCAAGTTGAATAAGTTCCTTGTTTTACTTTTTTTTTTTTTTATTTACTAAGGAAAAAGAAATGGACTATATTTAAGAGTTTTGAAAATGGAACCAATTTCTGCGGTATTACTAAAAGTTTAAGATGACTTTGCGAACAACCTAAAGATTGAGGACGCAAAATAAAATTAACCCCATGCGTTTTAAGATGCCTTTAAGCTGATGGTTTCCTTCTTATACGGTGGTTCCAGAATTCAGCACCGATGCCGGACGGCAAAGTAGGCCAACAGGCGGTGGCGATGAGAATTTCCGGAGACAAAGCAGCATTCCATAACTGCAAGTTCATCGGGTATCAGGATACTCTGTGTGATGACAGGGGCAGGCATTTCTTCAAAGACTGTTTCGTTCGAGGGACCGTTGATTTCATCTTCGGAAACGGAAAATCCCTTTATCTGGTAATCCCCAATTCAGAAAACCCAGAAACAATTCCACCCTTACTTAACAATTCGTAACTCTCTTCTTGTCTCGTCCCTGCAGAACACGACGATCCAATCGGTTGCAAAGGATTGTGGGGTGATTACGGCCCAAGCAAGAGAAAGAGTAGACGATGACAGTGGATTCATCTTCCTTTTCTGCAATATCAGCGGCGTCGGAAACAGCAGCACTTACCTCGGCAGGGCGTGGAAAGAGAGACCCAGGGTGGTATTTGCTAAGACCTACATGGGCACCATCATCAAGGGCGAAGGGTGGTCCGATAACAGCCACCCTGATCGTGATCAGACTGTGTACTACGGAGAGTACAAGTGCAGCGGTCCAGGCTCTGTTTCCTCTGCTCGGGCCAAGTTTGCAAAGATTCTCAGCGATGAAGAAGTTAAACCTTTCATGAGCATGTCTTATATCCATGGAAGCACCTGGCTTCTTCCACCTCCCAATGTCTGATTCCTTTGTCCGCGCCCGGCAACAATGGAAAATGTATAATTTCATTATTGTTGTAAACGTCGTCTCAAATATGTATCATTAATTGCTTTTATTGTTCAATTATCAAGGCTGTTTGTACTAATTGGAGGATTAATACCAAAAAAGGGAAAAAAAGGAGGCATTTGATGCGTATTGGTTCCACATTGTTGCCATAATGTTATTATGAAGGTGGACATCCAAATTTGCTAGTAAATTAGGCTCCATTCGGTATGTATATAGCTTTGGACTATTTGTTTTAGTTTTTATTTTTATATAAATTTTGTAACTTTAAAACCTTTCTATATTTATGTGCTTTTGCAATGGAAAATAATTAGTATATCTCCGTACTAATAGTTGAATATACATATTAATATTTACTAATTCAGTTATTAAAATTTATAATTTAAAATTTTCACATTGTTAATTCAAATTTGAAAATAATAATTTGTTAATGATTGTATTGAACTAAAATATGTATTAATTATTTTCCTTTGCAACGTATTATTATGATTATTGGCAATGCTATAATTTACAATATCACATAAAAGTATAAATTTATAATGATGATGTAACACTAAGTAAGTATAATGTAATATAATATTACAGGTGAATCTCTATATAAAGCGTATTAATTATATAATAATACATCATTTTAAAAATTTTAAAAATAATATATACACCCTGCAAAGTTACACACTTCGTTACATTGATGGTTTCCATTACTAATGCCGTTAAAACTGACAATTTATATTACATGTGTCGTTAAAAATGACGGTTCTGTTATTTATGTCATTAAAATTGACGATTTCTATTAAATACTGATGGTTTCCGTTAGTGTGTAATAGAGTGTGTAATTTTATAAGATATATATATATATATACATTATATCATTGTGTATAAATTTACAATACCACATGATTCAAGAAAACTAACTTTTAGCAGTGTGTAACTACATTGATGAAAGTTTGTGTTACATGCGTGAAAATAGGGTTTTTACATGAGCATCAAATTTCAACCACGTACTTACATTGGTAAATAACGTTATCAAAAAATAAATAAATAAATTATTTCCGTAAGTTCACCAATGTGAACTACATTGGTAAAACCTTTCCTCACGTACACTATATTGGCAAATAATAGTATTAGGAAAAAAAAATTTTAATAAATAACCAACGCGCACTACATTGTTAAAATATTTTACCTTGGAAAAAAAATATAAGCTAAAATTGAATTAAATTGAAAAAAATTACAACAGATTTACATTCAACAGCAAATTTTATGTAGAAAATATAACAACCACCACATTTTATCAACATATTCAAAATATATACCACTATATTTCAAATTCAAAATATTTTAAAATTTTGAAAAATGGTCAAACAATAATTTCAAATTTTCACAAATATATCTCATATCATAATTCAAAAATTGAAAGTAAAATTTATGTAATATAAATTGAATAATATACCTCAAAATGAAGTTTTGATTGAAGTTTTTGTACCTACAAATATAAATTTAAATTGTTAATAGATATCATTTGAAAAAAAAAAAGAAATTAAGAAATCAAAGAGATATGTTTAGTTTTTTTTTTTTTTTT